ATGGCCAAACTAGGCCAATAGCTTTTAACTTGGGAGTTTTACCTTGGGAGTAAAAACGGGTATTTCATTTATTCACTGAACATTAAGGAGCTTTATAGTTACACAGCACTGCATTAGGTAGGTAGGCCCTGTAGGGATACCAAAATAGAAAAGAACAATCTAAAAGGGACAAAGAGCGAATGGGAGCATTAGTCACAGCTTCCTAGAAGCTTCTGTTGTTGGAACAGACCTCTGGGAGTACCAACTCTCTCATTTTACCCAAGAGAGAAATCAGGTCCAGAGAAATTAACTGACTTGCTAAAGGTCACACAGCTAATGAGAACGTTAAGTATAAGGAAGATTTATGGAAGGAGGAGATGAAGAATCCACAAAGGATGAGAAGGCTGAGACAGATTGCTATCTCAGTCAACAAAGCATACAATGTGCACCCACATCACACATCAGGGAGTTCCTCCATAGTATTTAAAAACTATAAAGGATAAATAAAGGAGTGAATAAGTGTGGGTTTGATTAGTGTGTAGAGAAGGAAAACTTCCTAGAGAAGGCGAGTATTGATCCCTGCTTTGGAATGAAAAGACTATTACTACCCCAACAGGCAAGAAACACCTTTTAAGCTATTCAAATAGATCAGATAGATCAGCTATATACAGGAAGACATGAGTAGATTCCCCCTTTTATGTAGATTCAACCAGCGCCTATCATGTAATTATACTTCTAGCATTGTTCTTTTATCAGAAAATTCTATTTTTTCCATTAAGTGTATGATTTGGAAATATTTGCCATGATTCTTCTTAAAGTCAAGAGCAAAAGTCTTCCTATGAAAATATAATTCTAGTTTCACAGCATGTCATAAAAGAGGCAGCTAGATGGCTCAGTGGATAAAGCACTGGGCCTGGAGTCAAGTAGATCTGAGTTCAAATTTGACCTCAGATCTTTACTAGCTGTGTGACCCTGGGCAGTCATTTAACCTCTGTTTGTCTTAGTCCACTGGAGAAGGGAATGGCAAACCACTCCGGTGTCTTGATGCCAAGAAAACTCCTTGGACAGTATTAGCATGATATGGTCCACGGGGATAATGAAGAGTCGGAGATGCCTGAACAAACACATGTCATATAACAGCTCACATTAATATTTTAGTTTAAGGTTGGCACAGTGTTTTACATATATTATTTTATTTGACACAACAAGTCTGGGAGGTAGATGCTATTATCTATATTTTACAGATGAGGAAATGGAGGCAAAGGTTAAGTGACTGGCTCAAGGTAACACAGTTGGTAAGTATCTGGGGCAGGATTTGAACTCAGGTCTTCCTAACTCCAAACCCAGAGCTCTATCCACTACACCACCTAGTCATCAAATGAAAGTCAAAAATACAGAAGCACCTTATTCAGTGCCAAATGCACTGACTCAGGACCTGGGTTTAAATCCTACTTCTAATAATTACTACGTGACCTTAGGGAAGTTATTGAAACTCCTTAAGGTTCAATTTTCCTGGCACAGTGCATACAGTGCTCTAGTTTAAGTCAGAAAGACCTGAATTCAAATCCAGCCCCAGATACTTTCTGGAAAAGTTACCTAATCTCTGTATACCTCGGTTTCCTCATCTGTAAAATGGAGATAATAATAGCATCTACCTCCCAGGGTTGTTGTGAAGATAAAATGAGATAATTTTTGTAAAGTGCTTTGTAAACCCTAAAGCACTCTATAAATATTAATTATCATCATAAATTGTTATACCCAGAAATTAGCGAGTTGACCACCCAAGCTAATTTTAAATTGTGGACTTTATTAGCGCGCGGCTGCCAGGGATATTCACATCCAAATCAAGCAGCAGCCATCAGGGGTTGAGCTAGGGTTTATATAGGGAGTATACAGCACAGGGAGGGGGATGGATCTTTGAAGTCTGGCAAGAGGAAGAGGTTTTTTGGGGGCTGGTCAAGGACATCCTTCTCCCTCTGTGTAGATATGATAATGCTGTGCAAACTTTCTCACAATGGAGGCTTCCAGAGATATGATCTGAGGGCTGTGGCCTGAGCAGCCAGATAAGGGTCTTGCTAAGGAATCTGGAGGTTTCCAGACATATGATCTGAGGGCTGGAGCCTGAGCAGCCAGATAAGGGTCTTGCTAAGGAATTTGGAGTTTTCCATGGCCTAAAGGGCTCTACTACCTAAATGGTAAAATAATGTTCTGCATTACATAAATCATCAATAAAATGAGAAGTCTAGACTCAGTGGTCTTTGAGGTTCCCTCCAATACAAGATCTATCTATAAGCCTATGATTTGTTTAGCAAAAAACTGAAATCATGGTAAAGTTTTTCAGTTGTCACATTACTGTACTTGAGGTACACTTATACTTTAAACAAATACCATGCTCCCTTTTCAATTGCTTTTTTTTTTAAGGCTGCAGATACAGCATCACTACTAATAATAAACATTTTCAAAGATAGCACTTTTAAGGTACTGCAAAATTATATACTTTATAATATTAATTTCATATGATGCTCAGTAGGGATGATATACATGTATTATTATCCTCATTTTACAGATAAGGAAACGTAACTATAAGAGAAATCAAGTAATTTATCTATACTTAAACAGTTATAAAGTACTGGACCTACTATTTCCGTCCTGCTGGGGTTGATTCCATCCCTAAGACAGCCTAGTTTACTTTGCTGTCTCTCAGACTCCACTGAATGATAAAGGGGAAATGATGACCTAAGATGATAATATAACAATTATCATAATACCATTTTACACTGTATACTCTTTAAAGCATTTTCATATGTATTATTTCACTAATCCTCTGAAAGGTCTTAATGACACAAAGTGAAATAGGCAGAAGAAATAGAACTGTTTATATGATCAGAGCAATATTGTAAAGAAAAACAACTTTGAAAGATTAAAGATATTTCATCAGTAAAACGACCAATCTTTACCTCATAGGATCAAGTGAAGAAGTTTGTCATCTACCTCCTGAGAGAGACATAATAGTCTTGAGGTGCAGAATGAGACATACATTTTCAGACATGGCCAATGTGTGGATTTATTTTGCTTAATTATGCATATTTATTATAAGGATTCTGTTTCCCCTTTTTGTTTTGTTTTTGTTTCAGGTGAAGGAGGAACAGAATTAAGGTAACACTGTATAGGAAGAAGAAAGGAAGAAAGGAAGGAAGGAAGGAAGGACTTGAATCTTGCTGGAATAGACCTCAGGAAATACCTAGTCCAACTTCTCATTTTACACAAGAGGGAAATCAGTCACACACTCACACACACACGCGCGCACACACACACGTATACATACATACACACACATATAACTATATATATATTATTTATTTCTAATGCATAGAAGTGAAGGAAACATAAGCAGGACATCTTTGAAAGTAACATGTTGAAAGTTATTTTAAAATCAGAAGAAAATGCAATCTGGGTATAACAGAAATTCATGGTTTCATGTACAATTCTCATTATCTGCTCTACTTTGTTAATTGTATTTTTTTAAGTTCAAAATCAAGAAGAGCCATTAAGACTACAAGAGAAGAAATGGATGAGACCAGAATCTTCCAACTGCAGTTCAGTGAGTCTCACTTTGATTCTTAGTAAAATTCTGGGATGGTTCATGAAAAAGATAATGAAGAAAGTGGTGTTTATAAAGAGCCAGTACAGCTTCATCAAGCACAGGTGATGATGCCAAAATAAATTTCCTTTTTTTGGACAGTTAGATCAACTGAATGTTGAGATACGGTTTACCTAGATTTTAGCAGAACATTGATAAAGTATCCCATGTTAATCTTGTGGAAAGGTTGGCAAGAAAAGGACAAGCTGGTAATATAATTAAGATAGTTTTGGAACTGGTTGAATGGCTAAAGTCAAAGAGTTGAACTTAATGGTTCTCTATCAAGTTGGTTAAGAGGTCTCCTGTGAGTCCCCTGGGCTCTGTACTTGACCCAGCTTGGTTGTTTAACATTTTTTATCTAAAACTTGAATAAAAGGCTAGATGGCACACACCAAATTGTCAGAAGTTGGTGTGTGTGTGTGTGTTTTGGAGGCGGAGGGTGGTGGTGGAAAAAGTTAGCCCAACAAATTCAGCTGTCTTCAAATGTTTGAATGACTGTCCTTGAAAAAGGGATTAAACCCGCTCGGTTTGGTCCTGGGGGCAGAACCAACCAGGAACAACAGGGGCAAGCTTCAGAAAAGGCAAGCTGAGACTTTACTTCAGACAAAATTCCTAACAACTTGAACTATCCCAAAGTCATGCAGGAGGTCTTGAGAGGTGGTGGGTGACTGTTAAGGTCCCTTCCATTTCTGAAGTTCTCTGAGATAGACAAGCCAGGTATTATCATTATTATTATTATTATTATTATTATTATTATTATTATTATTATTATTATTATTATTATTACAGATGAAGAAACTGAGGTCTATATAGTAAAAGTAATTTGTTTAAACAAAATCACATGGGAAAGGGAGAAATTGAATCATATCCATTGACTCTTCTACACATACCACCACGGCTTTTATCAAATTTCTTAAACAACAAAGCTATCAAAACCTTCAATTTCTTTGTTGTTTAATAAAAAATGTAATACTGATCAGGAAGTGGGAAAGGGGAAGAAGGAGGAAAGCAGGGAAAGGGAGAGGGAGAAGGAATGAGAGAGGAGAATACTATTTTCTTCAGGCTTGTGCTTTTATTAAATTTAAATGCATTTTTGAAGAAATAAAGAAATCATGCATGCTGACGCAAAACTAGTAGACCTAGATTATAAGCTCAGGTAAAATACTCTGTAAAACTGCACCAAAGTTCATAGACCCTCTGAATACAATCGCAGGAATCAAGTTCTCACTCTCACTACTTTAATTTTAAGACTCCCTTCTTTCCTTCTATGACTTAAAAATTTCTCTTATATTACCAGAAAAGATAGGTAAGCAAATCAGCATATAGTGAATTCTCATATTTGAGGAGGAATACAATGATTATTACTATAATTATTCAGTACCTTTTTGACCTTGGTTTTCTTCTCATAGGATTCTGACAAAGGCTTTTTCTTTTGTTGAATGGTGTCTTTGGAGAATAAATACTCAAATTCACTTGGGTCTTGAATATCAGGTTCTTCTAAGGAATCCCATAGGGTTGGTGTACTACTTTGGCTTAAAAAGAAAAAAGCAAGTGAAATAGTGAATTGAAATCAAAGAGACTACGAAACAATGAGATTTTTTTCTAATTTTTTTTTAAACAAATAACCCTTGCAAGAGTTTGGGAATATGTTGTTTTTCACGTTCCAATAGACTAGCTTAGAGGAAGGTCAAAAGGTATAACAGAATATTGAACAGGTATTAAAGCAAATATACATCCTAAAAGTTGGATGGTTTTTGAAAGCAGCCAAAATGATGAATTTGGCAAAGTCCAATAAAAAAGATGACTGAGGATTCAGACATCAGATTGGTGAGGTCAAATAAGCAAGCCTCCACACTTCCTGCCCTTCATTTCTAGGATGGCTTGAAAGCTACCATTTAAAAATTTAAGAAAAATAAATAAAAGAAAAATTTTGCCAAGTACACTCTTAGAAAATCAAAGGTATAGTCAGGATAGAGTCTCTAATTAAAAATTTGCCCCCAGTAGATTCTTCTTACTCTGATATCAAAATTGGCTTTTAATAATGGCTCAGTTTTATTTGAGACAGATACAGGCAGTTTTCAGCCTCCACATGTGTAGCTGGAGATGCTTATACCCACCTAAGGTGAACTACTCTAGAACACCAGTTGACAAATGATCCTTATTTCAGTCTGGGCAATACCCACCCCAAGTCCCTGATGCATTTGCCTCTTCCCTTTTCTCCACCAACTCTTTCTCTTACTATCAGAACCCTTGTTATTCCTGCCACTGCAATCATGGAAGAGAAAAAGAAAAGTAAATTTTAGGGGACCTATGGATTCAAAAGTGAAAAAAAAAAAAAGAAACTTAGATAAGCAAAAACCATTTAGGGTAGCTGATTGTAGGGACAGATTCCTAGAAATTCATGGTCTGACTCAAGACGATAGTGCCCTCTGCCTTAAACTATCTTCCTCCAGCATCCTAATGTTGTTTGTTGCTACTGTTTTACTACAAGCTTATGAAGTCCTTTAATTAGAAATTCATTTGGATTTGATATAACAATAACAACTAGTATTTGTATAATGTTTTAAGATTTAGAAAATACTTTACAAACACTATCTTATCTTTCCTCACAACAGTCTTGTGAGGTAGAAGCTATTCCAGTTTTACGTATGAGGGAAACTGAGGCAGTCAGTCACTGTCAATGACTTGCCCAGGGTCTTCCTGACTCCAGGTCCAGTGCTTTTTCAGTAGCCATTGCTGCTCCTGGTTGCCAACTAAAGCTTCATATACCACTCAAGAGCATTCAACAGCTATTACTTCACAAACTTAAATAAAGTAGTTTAATCAGATTACTTTTTTCTAACACTCAGCTGAAATCATCTGTACAGTGGGAGTTTCCATCAAGGGGAGGTAGTTTTGGAGCATCCAGTAATTTCAGGGTAGTTTCCTTCATTTTTCTTGGGGCTCTGCTTCCGACTTCACCACCATCGCTCTCTTTACACCCATTGGTTCCCTTTTACATGTTGTCTTCCTCCATTAGAATGTAAGCCTTTTGAGGGCAGGGACAGTCATGCTTTTACTCATATTTGTATACCTACCATTTAGCAAAGTGCCTGGAACACAGTAAGCACATAATAAGTGCTTGTTGGTTTTAGGGTCTAGGAGGGTACAGCACTTTAAGAATTCATCAGGAAAAGGATGCCTGGGGTCCTAGAAAGCAGGGCATTAGGAAATGAGAAGAATCTGAAATGGAGTTGGGAGGGATTTCAAAAGGTTGCTTAGGATTGGCCCTGTGCACAGGAATGTCAGAAAGAAATTTTCTGCTTTTTTTTCTTCTCTTAACTAATGTTATTAATACCATATAAGTGAAAATAATCTTTTGCGGCCAGTTGGTCTAGGAACCTGAGAGGGTAGGATAAGTTGACACGGCTAGACAACAGTTCATGTGAAAAACATGTGAGGATTTCAGGGTTTTAGTTTGGTGCTTAATGAGTCAGTGGTATAACACAGCAGTCAAAAAAGCTAATTCAATCTTAGGCTATACTGATAGAAGCCCAGTATATAGAATGAGGGGGATTAAAGTATCAGTGTGCTTTGCTTTGGTCTGACCACATCTGGAGTTTGGTATTATGTTCTGAAGAACATCCCAGAGGATGAAAACTGAGATGCTAAAGCGACTCAGAGCTCTGCCACTGATCAGGACTGATGGAAGCAACTTAGGATTTTAATCTGAAGAAGAGAATGGCAGCCATAGTGAGAAGATAGACGTCCTCAAATATACGAAGGGCTGTCTTGAGAAAGTATTAGACTAACGCTATGCTCCTGCTAGGGACATCTAGGTGGTATAGTGGATAAAAACTCATCTTCTTGAGTTCAACTCCGGCCTTAAATACTTACTAGTTGTGTGATCCTCAGCAAGTCACTTAACTCCATTTGCCTCAGTTTCCTCATCTGTCAAATGAGCTGGAGAAGGAAACGGCAAGCCACTCCAGTATCTTTGCCAAGAAAAACCCCAAATGGGGTCAAAAAGAGCTGGACACAACTAAAACGACTGAACAACAACAGCAGCTCAATAGAAGGGAAAAATATCCTAACTTAGAGCTGTCCAAAAGTGGAACGGGCTGCTCGGAGAACTATCCCTGGAAGTCAACAAACAGAAGTCGGATGTCACTTATAAGGGTCTCTGAGGAGGGGTTTCCTACTCAGTTGTGAATTGGACTAGAGGAATTCTATATTCCTTTCTAATGCTAAGATTCTTAATGATACTCAGAAAATAGGATGCTATTATATCTATGGAAAATGGATTCAGAGTTACAAATAATTGACACATCATAAATGGACTTTTATAACAAAACTTGTTCAGTTAAGGATTGTCTCATTTGGTGGGAATAGTAAGGGATGCTTCTTAGGCTGGGTTTGTTTTGTTTTGTTTTGTTTTTTGGCTAGGTAACTGGGGTTAAGTGATTTGCCCAGGGTCACACAGCTAGTGAATATTATGTGTCTCAGGCCAGATTTGAACACAGGTCCTCCTGACTCCAGGGCCTGTGCTCTATCCATTGTGCCACCTAGCTGCTCCCCTTAGGCTGGGTTTTTGATGATTCCATCAATATCTATCACAAGGCTATCTGAACTCATCAAAACTGAGAATAAGGACAGAGTGCTGGGTATATTTGGATTCAGGGAAGACTTGGTTAAAGGCTATATACCTTTGTATATGTACCTATTGTATATAGTATATGTACCAGCTATGTGATCCTGGATAGGTCGCTTAACATTTCTGAACCTCAGTTTCCTCCTCTATAAATTGAGGATAATAATAGTACTCCTAAGAGTTCTTGTGAGGCCGCAACAAGATGATACATATGAAGAGCTTTGTAAACCTTAATGTAGTATATAAATATGAGCTACTGTCATTAGTGCTATTATTAATGAGAAAATGGGACAAATCATACATTATTACCAATGTTACTGAAAGCAGCCTTTTTTAAAAAAAAAAGTATATTGTGTTAAATCTAAATACTTAGAAAGCAAATCAGGTGAGTTAGGAGAAGATTTCTCTACTAATCAAAAATGGCATCATTTAGGATCACACATTTAGAATTAAAGGGGATGTGTCTTTATTTAGTCCAACTTTCTTATTTTATAAATGAGGGAACCATGAAGCAGAGATTAAATGACTTGCCTAGGGTCACCAAAGAACTAAGTATCGGGGCCAAGATTCAAACCCAGGACTCTAACAACAACAGCACTTTCAGAGTCTGATGTGCTCTCTCCAGAAACAAGAAAAATAGTAATACATACATATAGACGCAAAAATGTGCATGTAACTATGTATAATTATGTACATCCTGCTATCGAGGGTGTCAGTTATCAGGGAACAGATCCATATTCAGTTTTTAGTACAATTGCCTACTAATTATTCACCATTTCACCCCTTCAAAGAGCCCACCCAAGACAGAATATGAATGACACAAAATCACAGTGTATTTTGGTTTAAATCAGGGGTGTTAGGAGGAAGATAATAGTCCAATGGGCTTATATTAAATCATAAAACACCCAGTGAAGGGAGAAAATGACCATGTTCAATAGACTTTCCAGTTTTTTCAAAGAGAAGTGTCCCCCCACCCCTGCCCCAGACCTCATACATTGTGGCTCAGTGCCTGAAACTGTTACTGAGTCAGCCTCTCCTGATGCCTCTGGTTGGGACTTGTAAATATATTCATATGCTTTTCGTTTCTCTCAAAATTGAAGCACTAGATTTCTTTTGAAACTAATGAGAGTTTTAATATTAAATTGTTTCCTTTTTCAAAATGGTACAATACATAAGGAGGAAAAAATGCAGACAACAATCATCTCTGGCCTGTACTTAACCCAGATTGAGTAGCAGAAGCAGAGTCTGCCTCTCCCAGTGGTGTTGTTACAAGGCTCTAATATTACCCACTGATAATGAAAGCAGGTGGGGCAGAATGTGGAAAAAGACTAGTTAGATACACACGGGAATGGAAACAAGTGTGATCCGAGAACTGCATTATGGGGCTGTGAGATGAAATCTATTAGCCTTGAGTGCTTCTCCACTTGTATTTGAGAATGCCAAATAAATGAAAATCACTCAAAATAAATGTGCTGGAAAGTTATTTCCTAGGGGACTCCACTTTGACTTTAGGTGAGACTGCCAGGAGCACTTGAGTTTTGGGTGTGGCTATTTCAGATCACAGGCGTATTTGCTTCAACATTTAATTGCAAGGTTAAAAAGCAGCTGCCCAGCATAAGCTCTGATTTCTATTCTTTATTGATGGTAGGCTTAAGGAAGGCTCCAAATTGCTACTTGGGATACACTAAGACCAGGCTATTCACCTGCTTAGTTATATTTAAAACATTTCCCATCCCAATTCTTTTATAATGTTTTCCTGCTGCTATAACCTAGAAGTCCCATTGATTGTCAGGCATCATCGTATGGTTTGAACCTATATGAAGCTATACCATGGTATGAACAAAAACAACATATTGCGAATACTGATTGTCATTCAATGACGCCGTTATCTGGATCTGGCTATTACTAAATTCCTACTAGTTTTAGCTTGAAAATAGGGGCAAGACAGCATGAGAGTTGGTACTTTGGAGGATCTGGGATTTTGACTAGTGTGGCTATTTCTTCCACTAGCACAGATTATGACCTTTCCTTGCCTTCCCATCCTGTATAATTCTTATTCAATCTTTACCATAAATTTTCCTGGTAGCAGAGGGTAGCACTGGTTTAATTTGCAAAACATCTATGGAGGAGGAAGACCACGAGAAGTATCACCTCACAAATGTGGCAATTATATAATGAAATATAGTGACCCCTTCAACCCTGACATTAGGTCCATCTCCTATAATCAGGCTCAAGCTCTGTTAACAAATGAAGATAGAGAACAGATGGCAGTCAAGGAGAACTGGCAAATACTGGAAGGTGGAAGCTATGGAGAGACAAAACTAGGTTGTACTTCATTCATCAACCTCATTGGCAGCAAAGAAGTAAACTTTAAAAATCTATATGAAAATTGGTTTGAATTGAAATATTCAAATAACCTAAGATAGCTGTATAGCAAATAGATAGAGTACTGGCCCTGGAGTCAGGACAAGCTGAATTCAAATACTTCCTCAAATACTTACTGTCTGTGTGACTCTAGGCAAGTCACTTAACCTGTTTGCCTTAGTTTTCCTATCTGTAAATTTGGGATAATAGCAGCACCTACCTCCTAAGGTTGTTGTGCAGAAAAGATGAAATATTTGTAAAACTTTGCAAACCTCAAAGTGCTATATAAATAATAGCAATTATTATTATTATTAACTAAATAACCACTATTCATAACTGTCTACGTAACACACAAAAAAGGTGTTTGTCTAGATCCACAAAGTAGTACTTCTTTGGGAAAATAATGGTAATAAAATAACAGCTAAAAAGCCTTGCAAAGCACTGTGTGTGTGTGTATATATATATGTGTGTGTGTGTGTGTGTGTGTGTGTGTGTGTGTGTGTGTGTGTGTGTGTGTGTGTATGTATATATACATATGTGTGTGTGTGTGTGTATATATATATATATATATATACACACACACATATGATCTCATTTGGTCTTCATAACAATCCTATGAGAAAGGTACAAGCATCTTGAAATGTATAGATGAGGGACCTGAGAGCCAAAGAAAGGCTAAATTAATTGCATGCAGTTTTACAACTAATAAGAAGCAAAAGTGGGATTTGAATACAAGTCTTGCTTTTGACTCCCAGACCAGTGATTTTTCCACTACATCATTCTGCTTTTCCTAGAGGTACAGTAGACATAGTTTTAAGATAATTTTGTAATCAACTAATTTTTAAAATCATCTGGTCTTTCTTCCCTCATCCTGGATCCTCTCATATCTCTTTCAGCCTCCAAATTTAAATTTATTTGCATCTGTTTGTAAGAGGAAAAGAAGTAAGGGGAGGGAAGGCAAGGGAGGGACGGAGGGAGGCAAGAAACATTTATTAGGTACCTACTATGTGCCAGGCATTATGTTTAGCACTTCATAAATGTTAACTTATCTGATCCTGGGAGGTAGGTGCTCATTTTGCAATTGAGGAAACTGAGGCAGACAGAGGTTAAAGTGACTTGTCCAGTGTCACACAGCTAGTAAGTGTCAGATGGATTTGAGTTTATGCCATCCTAACTCAAGGCCCAATGACCTCTCCACTTTACCACATAGTTGCTTCAGGCTGAATAGGACATACATTCATGAATTTTTCCAGCACAAAGGCACCCTTTACCTGAAGAATCTCTGCTTTTCAAAATCTTTTTCAAAAGTTATCATCAAAATCCATATTATCTACTGCAGAATTGGTCTTCTTACTCTTTCTCTCTCTCTAATAGATCACAGTGACACACCCAGGTCCAGTCTCTAAAAATGATCTATTAGCTGGCAGGAAGGGTGTGCCTGCTCAAAGATCATTGCTTGGCATACCATCACCAAAGATTTAGAAAAGAAAAGACCAGTCAAGATCTGCCAAATAGCTGCCAAATTCAACTGACACTCCTTCCAAAAGTATCTCATCGTCACCAAGATACCCCCACATAGAACTTAGGAATCATGCATGTGGTAAATGTTAGACTGTACAATAACGGGTAGAGCTGTGAGGAATAAGACACCACTTAATGGAAGCTCTTGGGAATTTTACAAGCAGAAAGCTAAGTTGTAGGTGTCATGGTAGGGTTTTCCTTACCTTCCACCACTTATTTGTATCCTTGTCCAGTAGAGAGGCTTCATGGGGCAGCTGGGTTCAATGGCAGGCTTTCGAGGAATCTGGCTAAAGGATGTGTTGCCTCCAAAAAAGGGAGGAGGAGGAGGAGGTGGTGGTCCAATTCCTGGAGGAGCTGGAGAATGTGGAAGTGGGAGTCCAGTGCTAGGGAGAGGTGGTGGGGGAGGGGGGAGGGGACTCCCAGAGCTTAGAGGTAAGGGAAGAGGAGGTGGTGGAGGAGGAGGAGGGGGTGGAGGAGGAGGGGGTGGTGGTGGCCCAGCACTTGATTGTGTTGAAAATGGTAGAGGCTGAAGTCCTGGTGGAAGGGGAGGAGGTGGAGGGATGCTGTTGGCAGTGGAGGAGCAGGAGGGGGAGATGACTTTTGTTGACCAGATGAGCAACTTTCTAAAGACTGGAGGGTTGAAGAGATATCTTTGTTATCATTTGGGGGAGATATGTGGTTTAGAGAGGAGATATTCAGTTTTTTGGGTACTATTTGGTTACTTTTAATGGTTTTGCTCTCATCTTCACTGGGTTTTAAAAATGTCTCTCTGTCAGTTTGTATGTAGACATTTCGGAAGGTCTTTGGTGGATAATCATCTTCTGTAGAGATGCAAGCATCTCTTGTCGTTTCACATCCTCCACTCAATCGGTGTTCTAACTCACACTTCAGATTTTCAATGGTTTCTTCTAGTCTTGCCGTTATTACAGCGTGTTCTCCCCTAATGTGGAAGACCCTCAGTTCAAACTGGGCCTGAGGATAAGAGTAAAAAAAGAAAAGAGCTCAGTAAAATGAAGATTAGACATATTAAGAGATTTAGTACTATTCCAATGTCAAAATAGCACATGCTATTTGAATATAGAGACAAAGTGGCAATCATGAAATAATCCAAATGGGTATACATTTCACTTTATGAATTTTCCAGAAACTTAAAACATTTGGAAACAAAGAATGATTTCAGCTAACCTGAGCTCATGGGGAATAATTACTGAGGATTAAAGTTTAAGAGCAAAAACATCACCTAAGAACTTTTACCCGGTTAAAGTATCAAATACAAACCATATTCGGATGTGCCTGAAAATGCGTTTTGTAATTCCAAAGTCTGGCTTGGAAATTGACTGTCATAAGAAAGGCATGTTTGGGGATCCTTCTGGCCTATAGTTGCTGTTCCAGCAATCACCCTAGAATGCCTTTCTTTGTGAGATTTCCAGGTTAATATGGCAGTCAAAAAGATAGAGAGAAGTTAGTCTCCAAAATTCTTAATGCTTTTTTTTAAATACTCTAGCCTTTAAACTAGGGGTTCTTTTTTCTTTTTTTACTTTTTAAAAAATTTTATTCTATAGTTTCTTTTTTTAAATTAATTTATTTTGATTTATCAACAATCACTTCCATAAGCTTTTGACTTTAAAATTTTTCTCCCCCTCCCTTCCCACCTCCCTCTCCCAAGACAGCACACAATCTAATATAGGCTATACATATACATTCCTATTAAACATATTTTCACATTAGTGATGTTGTAATTAAGAATTAGAACCAATAGGAAACCACCAGAAAGAGGAAACAAAACACAACAGAAGAAAAAAAAGTAGCAAATAGTATGCTTCAATCTGCATTCAAACTCCATAGTTCTTTCTTTGGATGTGGATAGCATTTTCCATCATGAGGCCTTTGGAGATGTCTTAGATCCTTGTATTGCTGAGCAGGGTTAAGTCTATCAATATTAGTACTTAACTGATTATGTTATTCCCTTCTTGAGCCAAATCTGATGAGAGTAAGGTTCAAACAATGCTCATCTCCCTCCCTTCTTTCCCTCTGCCAGTAATAGGTTTTTGTGCCTCTTCCCGTAATGCAATTTACCCTTGTCTGCTTCCTCCTTTCCTTTCTCTCAGTACATTTTCTTAGTTAGATCAGATTAATCACTTACTTGGATCCATTTAACCCACTTGATTAGATTTTTTTTTATCATTACATCAAAGTCAACTTATATCCACCCCTTTTATGTATTACCCCTTTAACATGGTGTAATAACAATACAGTTCTCAAGGGTTATGTCATCTTCCCTTGTAGGCATGTAAACAGTTTGCCTTTATGAATAACATGTTGTTTCTTTCTGACTTGTTTACCTTTTTTTTGTCTCTCTTGAGTCTTGCATGTGAAGATCAAATTTTCTGTTGAGTTCTGGTCTTTTTATCAGGAAGGTTTGGAAGTCCTCTATTTCACTGAATACCCATCTCCTCCCCTGAAAGATCATGCTCATTTTCGCTGGGTAGTTGATCCTTGGTTGTAATCTAAGCTCCTTTGTCTTATGGAATATCATATTCCATACCCTATGGTCTTTTAATGTAGAAACTGCAAGGTCCTGTGTAATCCTGACTGTGGTTCCATGATATTTAAATTGTTTCTTTCTGGCTTCTTGCAGTATTTCTCTTTAACCTGGTAATTTTGGAATTTGGCTACTGTACTCCTTGGTGTTTTCAATTTGGGATTTCTTTCACGAGGTGATCGGTGGGCTATTTTCCTCTCTGGTTCTAGGACCTCAGGGCAGTTTTCCACTATGATTTCCTGAAAGGGTACTCTCCAGGCTCTTTTTTTCCATCATGATTTTCAGGTAGATCAATAATTTTTAAATTGTCTCTCCTGAATCAATTTTCAAGGTCAGTTGTTTTACCAATGAGGTATTTTACATTTTCATCTATTTTTTTCATTCTTTTGTGTTTGTTTGACTGATTCTTGCTCTCTCATAGAGTCATTAGCTTCCATTTGCCCAATTCTAATTTTTAACAAATTGCTTTCTTCTATTAGATTTTGTCCCTTCTTCTCCATTTGGCCAATTGTATTTTTTAGGGGCTTATTTTCTTCAGTGTACTTTTTTTCCAGTTGGCCCACTGTATTTTTTAAGGACTTGTTTTCTACAGTTAATTTTTGTCCTTCCTTTTCCAAGCTATTGACTCTCTCTTGAATATCTCTCATTTCTTTTCCCATTTTTTTCTTCTACCTCTCTCATTTGACTTTTAAAATCCTTCCTGAGCTCTTCTAAGAAGGCTTTTTGGGCTACAGACCAGTTCATATTCCCTTCTGAGGTTCCAGATGTGGGTTTGTTGACAATGTTGTCCTTTTCAGAATTTCTGCCTTGATCTTCACTCTTCCCATAATAAGAATCTATTGCACATTTCTTCTTGCTCATGGTGTTTGCTTATTTCCTGGCCTTAAAAAGAAATTGAGCTCTCTTGCTGGGAAGCAGAGGGCACTGACCCAAGCTTCTTGTGTTGGGAGCCTAGGGCCTGGTCACTGGCTTTGTGTTCTGAGGCCTCCAATGCTGGCAGTTGGAGGCTGTAGGGTTCTGACAACTTCACTGATGTTGGGCTAGAATTAGCAACACTGGAACTCTAGGTGTAGGATTGGGTAGCAGTGGCTCCTGGAGATTTCCTGCTCACTCAGGCCTTTCCTTCCTTTCGCTTTCTTCAGCTCCTTTTAGATGGATGTTGCAGGGTGTTTATTCACCTGGGGCTCCTTGGAGTGCTGCTTCCCTTAGTTGTGCTGAGGTACCTGGAGACCCAGTTGCTGCAGAATGCTAAGGCACCTGGTGGTTTTTCAAACTGGTTTCCACTGGTTCCCCTGCCCTCACTGAGGCATGCAGGGGTCCTGGTATTGGTGTTTGCCTGCTCTACCACCTGGGTTTCAGGATCTCCTCCTGGTATGCTGAGGAGGGGCTTTCTGCTAGCTTGCTGGGATGCCTTCTGTTCTGTACTGCTCCCCTTCCCAAGGGCAACAGGAGCCTTTTCCATTAATCCCTCAAGTGACCTAGGCTACTGAACTGCTACACTCCATCTTTCTTCTGGTTCAGCTGTTCCAGGGTTTTTCCTAGGGCGGTATTTTCTGGGCTTTCAGAGGCTAATAAGGGTAAACCAGGGGTTTTAAGCCTGGGGTTTGTGAACTTTCTGAAAAATATTTTGATGACTGTATTTTAATATAATTGTTTTCCTTTATAATACTATGTATTTTATTTTAAACACTTAAAAATTCTGAGAAGAGGTCCATAGTCTTTGTATTGCCAGAGCAGTGTCCATGAAACAAAAACAAAAACAAAAATTGACAAACCCCACTTTAAATCATCAGAATTCAGCTTTGTCTTATGCTCATTCTAAATGAAACAAGAATTCCAAATTAGTAAGTTTAAGATAAGGATGCATTGAAGTTATTCTAGTTCTACTCACTTTGTTCTGCCTCAATTCACAGAGGTTTTGCAGTAATATACTCTACCCCTGTTCCTTCACCCAGGAAACCTTTCCTAATCCTCCTAGATGCAAGTATCCTTTCTTTCTTCCTCTTCTTCTTCTTCTTCTTTTTTTTTTTTGCCAGAGCAAGCTTTTTATGCAGTTAATTCCTTCGTGTCCCTCCCTTCAGAGGCAGGATTGGTTCCTGTCCTTCTGGGTTACAATCTTCCTGATACTCCCATTTCAGGTATCCTTTCTTGTCTCAAAGTTTAGATCACATACTTCCTGGTATTCTAATTATTTGTGTATAAGTCATAGTTTCCATAAAAGAATGAAAGCCTTTTGAGAGCAGAGGCTGTTATCATCATCATCATCATCATCATCGTTGTTATTATGATGATTATCTAATCTTTAAATCCCCTTTACCTTGCACTTCATAAATGCATTCCTTCTCTCTACCCCTTCCCTTTCCAACGTCTTCCTAAGGCTTCAACATCCACATTGACAAGCCTTCAAACACCTTGCTTTCCCATCACAAATAACATTTTTTTTAAAGCTCAATTTCCAGGACATCAGTCACCCACCGTGGTCTCAAGACCTAAACCTCACTTGTATTTCCAACTGTTCTGCCTCCAAAATTTTGAACTTTCAGAGATGTCTTGGTAACGCTGGATCCTCTGATGAGGAAGAAGCATTTTTGATTCAGAAGATGAACAGCAGGAAGCTAGTCATTGGGTAGTAAGAAGAGAAGATTGGGGGAATATGGCCACTCCCTAGAGCTACTAGAGGCTACCCTGATATGAACAATAGAGGCAGGCCCTTTTTCCAAAGGGACCACCGTCTTATGGGAGCAACAGCTGATGAACAAAAAATATTTAAATCGAATAACAGAAGACTTTGGGGAGTCAGGATAATTGTCTTAAAGTATCTGAATTGTAATCATGTGGAAAAAGGAACAGAGTTGTTCCAATAGGTTCCAAAAGGCAGAAAAAGGAGCAATCAGTAGAAGTTTCAGAAAGGCAGATCTTTGATTAATATAAAGAAATCTTTAAAATGAAAGCTATGTAGAAGTGGAATGGGAGGCACTGGGTTCCCCATCTCTGGAAATCTTCCAGTGCAGTCAAGATTACTTACTTGTCAGGGCTATTGTAGAGAGGATTCCCATTCAGATATAGGTTAGATTAGATCACTTCTGAGGTCTCATCCAAATGAGATTCTGCTAGTCTATGGACCTTTTCTAGAGTTAACACAGTGGATAAAGGGCTGGGCCTGGAGTCAGGAAGACAGAATCAAATCTGGCCTTAGAAACTTACTAGCTGTGTGACCTTAGGAAAATCACTTAACACCTCTGTTAACTGTAAAATGAGAATAATAATAATAGCACCTATTTCCCAAATGGGTAAGGATTAAGTGAGATATTTGTAAAGTGCTTAGTGCAAGGGTTGGCACTTAAACGCTTTTTCTTCTTCCTTCTTTCCTGGTATATTCCAAATTGGCTGAAATATTCCTATTCTAAATTGACAGTTGCTAAAAGAAATC